CCACCACCACCACCACCACGATGACTACTACGACGACGACGACGAGTTCACCAGACGTACGGTAGGAGTGTAGTCGTCCTCGCCGTCATCGTCCTCCCTCGCCGTCATCGTCCTCGGCATAGTCGTAGTCGGAGTCGTAGTCGTCGTCGTAGTAGAGATTCAGGAGCCAGCACTGTGTGTTAGCCGTGTGACCGCGGGACGAAAGAAGTGCAGAGAGAAATCGAAGATGTCCCGACGAGATCAAACAAGTTTTGATTTCTGGAAGAATGCAGATGTTGGCTACCAGACCAAGCTTGTGGCGAACATGTACGTGGGCAATCAGTCCGAAGGAGGGTCTGGGAAAAATGTGTGAAGGGTGCCGACGGGTAGAACAGGTGGGACAACCAACCCAGACCTCCCAGTAGAGGATAGCCCCGACCCAAGCTCTCGGCACCTTGATCTCGGCACGAGAATGCGGGTGATTTGCCCAAACGGGGTTCGCAAAAATACAGAATGCCCGGCGGCTGATCATGGCTCTGAGCAGAATCTTACAGGGCGACCTACGTCCCTGACCCCGACTGGCCTTACTTGGCCAAGGTGCTGCTAGCTCTCGTTTGGAGCAATGTGGATGAGACAAGTTACCGCGAGCTGATCCACTGGATGCCTGTCCCAGGCTGGTGTAGACACTCTGAGCGCGACGGAGCGTAGCTGTGCTTGGATGACGAAGAAGACATGATAAGACATGTGCAAATCTGCACGTGTGACACATGAAGCTCATGTTTGGAGAACTCGTGGACAGCTTTACAGTCCATCTCCATGCAGACTTGGCTGCCGTAGAATCCGCAGGTTTCGCGCTCGGCGGTCACAACATTGACTTGCACTTCGTGGTCAATGACATCTTCATGTCCTTGAGCTGCAGGGCTGGACTGCACCCGAAATTTGGATGGCGTACGCTAAGAAGATGAATCATCAAGCTCGCGAGGTGCTTTTTCTTCGGCCTTGCAATCAAAGAGGTGCTCTGCCACTGCATGAGTGAAGTCACGTAGGTGCCAGCACCATCTACGGGTACTAGTTGTGGTTCGCTTAGCTGTGTGTCACACAAACCAAGCCAGCAGCCATGCAGCTTGATCGTCTAAGACTCGCGACTCGGAAGCCAGCAATGTGCTAAGCTTCCTCATATTCGCGTGTACTCGGTGGTTGCTTCTGAAAGTTCGCAGGTCACTGAAGCTTTGCTGCCGGGCGGGTCCCTGTCACCGATCTCACGTGCATTCAATCCTCTGCTGGCGACGTCTCTCGGACTCACGTTGAATCTTGTCGCTGCAACCAGCGAGACTGTCCACTCCCATTCCTCGACGTGCCATGCAGGTTCGGTGGCGTCCCTCGGCAGGCACCTTGTGCTACCGAAGGATCACACGGCCCTGATCTTTGAATACCCGCTAAAAGAGTCAATCATGTCAATCTCAGGTTGTGGGCCCAGCTGTATTTTACCTTCTCTTTGCCGCTGTGTTCCACGCAACAGGCAGGTCACTCACGATCATGGGTATTCAGCGCACATGCGGTTGTCTCAGTGACTTAGTGTCGAAGTGCTGTAGTGTGCACGTTCGGCAGTGTAGCAGTATAGCAAGCTGAAGTCAGACAGAGGCAATCAGGGGCCACAGCAGAAATCCTAAATCTAAGATCGTTACCACAATCCGATCGCAAGTGAGCTTAGTTTGATGCTTCGGCTTTTCACATTCTGCGTGACGTTTGGAGAGATTGCGGCATGACAACTGGGTTGACGAAACAGCTGAGAGGGAGCGGGGAGTTCAACCTGCTTTGACGTTTCGCTGTGGGCCCCGGCTTTGCTCCGGCTGGCCAAACACTCCATGCGGCGGGGTTCGCTGACAAACAGAGGTGAGGAACGCTCTGAATCAATGGACGTCCACACATGTCCACACGTTTGATGCCGAAGGCCTCGGAAGAGTGTGTCATGCGAGGTTATGAGGAGTTTTTTGGAGGGAAAGCAGGCCAAGGGCAAAGAGCACCCCGCTGTTTCGCCGTTTGGTGTGAAGGTGCCCTGGACCAGCCCATGTGTCTGCCGGATGACTATGAAAGCCATGCCCTGGAAAATGGCCACAGAAGACTAGCCGGAGGAGGCCGACCGTTCAAGCTTAGGTTAGGGGTATCTTGGGAGCCAGCTAGATCTGACGGGTGATTGGGCCTTCTCATGCCACTTCAACACTCGCCTCCTTGGAGGCAGTGCCATACCCGCAACTGCGTATGACGCCAAATGCAGCCTGACAGCTGTTTTCAAGGCACGACTCGCCAAGACCCACGAATTGCAAGAACATAAAGCCGATATTTGCCGTCCGGGTCCTCAAGATGACAAATCATCTTCATCCCTGCGCCAGGGCTGGGGAATTCCGACTGCGCCTGAAACTGAGGTTTGAAGAGCATCCTATACATACCAGGGCTGCATTGCAAACATCGCGTTGTTGCAGCGCTTTGCATCGGAACAGGCTGTATCTCCAACTTCTGTATAGCAACTCAGGACAGACATTTCGCTGGCTTGGATGTTCGCCCTTCTGATCTTCGGCCCTGGTCATGCTGCCATCAACTTCCTGCAGCTCAGCCACAATGCGTTCCGTTCGTTGAGCGGTGGCTGTTGTTAGCACGAATCAATATATACTTTGAACTGACAGACGATCTCTAGGCTGCTGCTCGCAATATTGGATGATGCACTGGGCATGATCATCATTGCAGCAACTCGTCTTCGCTCAGCTTCGTAAGTGCGAGCTCACACGATGATGAATCTGTGACAGGCACGGGTTCTACAGTTTCTCGGGCCTGCATATCATTCAAGGCCTTCTATCCCGATCCAGATGCTCCAGTGGAGCCCATTTGGCTACTTTTGGTGCTTGGTGTGCCTCAGCTTTGGCATAGTTCAGCTACACAGGTCTGCTGACGAGGTGCTTGAGGAAAGGGCTCCGTGCTGGTTGCTGATCGATCTTGACGGGGACATGGCAAACTCCTCCTCTTTCCTCAACATGCCTCAGTTTCCATCCGGATCATGTTTTAGTATACTTCTGCATTCCTGTTCGTGTGTACCCATTGAACAACCTGTTTATGCAAGTATGCAAACAACATGCATGCCGGTGCACAAGGATGCATTTGTCCGCCGAGAACAGGCTCAGGACCAACTTGGCATGGTGATACAGATATGGCATGCACACATACACTGTACATACACTCCAGAAGTGGGTCCCAGAGCTCAGGCCATGCTGGTAGCCTTTGTGCTGCGCAAGGCCATGGTCAGTCGATGGCAGGCGGGAAGAATGCCGGACATGCTTGTCTATGTCTTGAATGGTTCTCAGGCAGTTTTGTGGTCATGATCCATACAGAAAGTTGAGAAGGAAAAGCCCAGAAGGCGAAGGCTTGCTGCAACAATTTGAAGTTGCGTAAATACATACATAAAGAATTTAATTAAGTACACAAATGTCATCATCAATTTATAACACACATACATTATGTATATATATATATGTGTATATGTATAATATATGTATATATATATGTATGTATGTGCATATGTATAACCCAATGTAATATATTGCAATGTAGCGTGACATAACATAATATACTTTAACTTAACATATACTAATAACTAATATCATGTCATATAGTAAATGATATATACAGTGTACTACAATGTAAAACACTACTATAACACAATGCAAATACTGTATAGTACAATAGAATACAGCAGAATAGAATGAATACATGTGAATGTATATATAGGATATACATATACTTTTATGACACAAGTAGAACATGCAACATGTAATAAAATCATGTAATATTAATATAATATACAGCACTGCGCAGATAACATGTACAGCACTGGGTAGATAACATGTGCTTATATGATATATGTATATAGACACACATACAATTTGTATTTCACCGTCTCTAGCATGCAAAATAGAGTGGAATATGATATAAAATCAGCTAATACAATATAATACAATATGCAATAATATGTCATATAGTAACAAAATGTGATGCGAAATAGAATAGAATGTAATCCAGTACAACATTTTACATAATATATATATATGTATTCGTATGTATATATATATATGTATTCGTATGTACATATATATGTATATAAGTATATGTATATACATACACATATATATATATATATGTATGTATCTATGTATATACATACTTTATTGTTGTATTTATTTGCTTATCCACTCGGGTGTATGCAACAGAAGCTGATAGCTTGGTTGGTGAGTTGTCTTTGGGTCTTACCTAGGTGGATTGCGCATGGCATGACGGCGAGGTTGACTGTCTAGGGATCAGTTTTTCAGTGTGCAGTAAACGGGCTTGGGGGTATTTTTCAACCGAGGTCTTTTTCTAATGCCGGTTCTAACACATCGGAGGCTGTTCAAGGGTTCTGAACAACGTGTTCAGTTCTACATCCTCCTGGCTGCGCCCGTTTCCTGGATCGGGCTCTTCAAGGCTCACGTCCATCCAGCCCTTTCGCCTCCTGCTTGCACTTCATGAACCTCGTCATCGGAGACTCAAAGCACTGATGGCCACTACTTAATGGCAGCATTTCAACACTCATAGACTGGGGCTTGCAAAGAGAGTCGAAGAAACAGCCAGCATGATGAAGAACACTACCTCGCTGGCAGGTGCAAGCTACACATTGACATCGTGTTTGTCCCGCTCAACATGTAACCCTTGAGTATGGAAACCTAACAATCAAGAAAGAAGGACCTGGAGTTCTCCATGGCAATAGTGTAGGTTTACCGACTGGCACGCATGTCTTACAGGTTCTTCGGAAGACAACTCTACTGTCAGTACTGTAGCCTAGTTGTAGCTTCTGTGTGTCACCCAGCCCTTTTGCAACATACTTTCGACTCGACTAGTTGGAGATAGTGCTTGAGAGGTGAACAGCGGAACTGGAAGTGCCTGTTTTTAGGAGTTGGAAAACGGTGGTTGGGATTTCACCGGGATTCTAATCCACTAAACTCTTGAGAGTGGTGGCATGCTCCGTGCACGCTCTGCAATCGAGGCTCGTCTTCGTCGTGCCCTTCATGCCGGCGACACATGCCATTGAAGCTACAGGTCCACATGACTTAGGCAGGATACTGAGATGTACTCGCCTGAGCCATTTGCCTGCCAGACTGCTTGCCTGCCGTGCTCAGAGTGCGCTCAGCAAAGACAATGCACTTCCATGGCACACGTCTCGTGCTGCCTCAAGGCTATTCGAGAATAGTATCGAACTTCCTGCCAACGTTTGTCGAAGTCTGTTCACTGTTGGGTATATGAGAGTCTTCGCTAGTGGTCTTTGAAGCGAGGCCGCGTCTCGCAGTCCATCACTGACAAGGGTGGCAAGGATGATGTGACAGCCCTAGTTACTAATTCGTCGTCCTGGATCCTGTATCCATGTGCTGGTGAATGCTGGCATTCAGTGCTCTTGAGACTGGTTGGCATGCTTGAACCTGCGTTCCGTTTGCCTCCGCGCCTCGTTCTTTCCTGTCTCTGACTACCGCGCTGTAAGACGCTTCAGGAAATCTCCCGCAAAAGATCATCTGCAGTGGCCCCAGTCATGCGACATGTTTCTTGCGCAGGTGTGGAGACGCCTGTCACGCAGAGTGGTCCATAATTCTTTCCGACCGTGTCTGCGCAGCCGCACCAGGTGTCTCTTGCGGTGCGAGATGCCTATGTCGTAGCCTCGAGAAGGCAAAGCACTCGCCGCAATGATTGTGTCGAGTTCACGATCAGAGTCTCTAAATCGAAACGATCTTGCATAGCTTCAATGTTACGTTTCACTACAAGGCTGTCTGCCAACTGCGAATGCTTTCCATGTGCAGCATGTGTTCTTGCCAGTTTGAAGAACATCTTCGGCAGAGAGGCGGGCATGTTGAGCCGGTCTGAAAGTCTAGCCGACTCGAGCTTCGCCGACAGCAGTTCAATTCCCTTGTCTTCTTCGAAGTTTCAGCTGTCTCTCCGCAAACGCACGATTCTGTTGTAGGATTTTGGATTATTGTTCTTTTCCGACTGCCAACGACTCCCAGACTTTGCAAGAGATAGTGTAGAGGGAGGAATCGGAGCAGCTACACTTGCAAGGTTGCTTTGGGTGTTCATGTGGGCACATGTACAATTGAAGGAGATGGCGCCTCTACATGTGTTCGAGCACACCATGAAGGTTCCTGTTGACTTCGGTTGCGGCCTCACCTGAAAAAAAAGATGATCGACTTCTGCATTGCTGGCTGCACCTTCCTCCCGACTCAGAAAAGGCTCCCCGCCTGTCGGCTGATGCTGAGGCATGTTCTTCTTTGGCCTTGCCAACGCCGGTGTCAAGCCCCTTTGCATTTGTCTGGCGACTGCGACCACCTCCCGCCTTTGTGCAGCTCACCCAAGGCTGGGCTCCATCGGAGGTATCACTGGCTGCGTCGGGCTGTCGTGACTTGGCCGGAACATTCACCTGCGCACGTTTCTGTCGCTGAAGCCGCGTCTCTGCAGAGGCTGGTTGTTGGGAAGACTGTGGGGATTGCCGTGATGAGCGCAATCGGGCCCCTCATAGGCCTTGATGAAGCCCGTTCCCAAAGTACAGTATGGCTACGTGCACAAGCAGACTTGAGAGCGGCGTGTCTTGTGCCAGGTGCACCTTTACCCAAGGGTCTGGGCATGGCTGACCTCGTAGCCACAGCCGCGACTTGGCTTTGTTGCGCATGAACAAGCCTGTCGTCGAATGTCGACTAGGGACAGGGTTGCAAAGACAATGCGTTCGTGATTAGCATGGGTTGTCGACGGCTGCCGCCTCGGCTGCCGTGATGCAGAAGCGCCTCATGGGCGTGACGTCAGTCTTCGAACTCGCGCGACGCCTTACGCAAGGACATGGAACCACACTCAGGGGATCTTATCTCGAGTGACGACTCCGTCAACAGTTGATGTTGCTGTCTAAGGGGGTGGCGCGAAAAAGCAAAAAGATGAGCGCAGCGCTGGTTTGTTCGGGCGAAATGTGATTGATGTGAAAATTCGGGACAGCCTCACGAAGGGAGTCTGGACATCTCCTTGGCTTTCTTCGCGGAGTGAGTTCCTTGTGCCCGTTTGTGGTCTGAGGCGCTGGGAGGGGTTGGCCTCACGGTTGCCCTCTTCGTCGCCAATGAGGCGTTTGTTGAGCCGGAGATGCAGGGACAGGCACCAGCAAGTCCAAGCAAGCTGATGAGTGCCTGCGTGCCGTGTTCCAGAGGCTGTGGATGGCCACTGAAAAGGTTCGGAAAGCCATTGGCATGCCCTGTTCAGGCAAAGATGGGTGCGGTCTTGTCCACTGGCTGCGGAGCTCTGGCATGGCTGATCAAAACGGCCTTTGGAGGCCTGCACAATGTGCATCCCACCTCTCCTTTTGCATGCCACTAGAATCTCGAGCTAGGCTGCAAGTGGAGAGTAAAGCAACTTGCTGCATGGAGTGACATGTATGTGTGACAGCAGCATCTGCTGCAGCAGCTCAGTCACTTGCGACTTGAAAGCCTTTGATTCGTTCGGCCGCGACATGAGCGATCATCGAAGCCCGTTTCCCCGATGCAGAGAAATCACGTCAGCATCCACATGACATGGAAAAAGTGTGATGGATTCAGGAAGCAGCACGTGTCGAGGACAGTTGGCTCGGCACCCGCTTGTTTTGCTTCTTGCAGGCATCCCGAAGCCAGCAAAGCCAGAACAGGAAGAAGATCACAAAGATCGCAGTCTGGCCCTCAGGGCAAAGCGAATGTGCCACCCTCCTGCACACTCACGGCAGGTGAAAGAGAGGAGAAAAAAATGCACATCCATGAAGATGAAGTGGGCAGCATGGTGGCAGCCCCCCCACCCGTCTGTTCGAGTCCCAGGGATCCCAAAACACGAAACCGTTCCCACAGATATGGCAGGCAAAGCCTTTTGTTTTACATAATAAGCTTCTGCACAGTCTGCGCCACGGCATCTCTGCAACATGAATTCGTCACAGCAGCCTGCGACTCCATGCAACAACGAATGCAAGCAAGCTCAGTCTCACAGAGTCAACACGGAAGGCAACTTCAAACGGCCGAGTTCCATCAGGCCCACAACCTCAGCAGATTCTCATCGGCCTACAATCTTTCGTAAGCATGGGATTCATGAATTGATGGCAGTCACCGACGTCGAAGTCACGAAATTACCCACAGTGCTTCTAAGTCTAAGAAGGCGAAGTGAGGCTGTGGTCGCCCCATTATGAAATAGCCGCGTGCTCACGAATTCCCATCTCCGGGCGATGGCATGCACACGATGCGCAGCGCAGATGTGCATGTATTTCGAGCATGTTTCATACACGAAAGGGGGACTTGGTACTGCTTTTGAGGCATCTTTTGCAAGAGCATGGAAGTTGGGAAGATTCTCAGCGACAACTCGCAAAACAGCAATGCTCACGGGACAAGCCACTTGGACGGATCCGTCAGCGACTGGCATCCTTCGTGTGACAAGCTTGAAGTCAAGACGAAGAAGTGTTTGTCGCAAGAGCTCCCACAGCTCAATGCCGAGGTTTTGACGAAACCGACGTGTGCTTGGCTTCAGCTACTAGCTCAAGAAGCTTGGCCATGCCAGGCCCTGATCAGAATGCAAGAGGAACTGGGACGATGCCGTCGATGTAATCTGTAAAGAATGTTGGCTCTGTGCCATGTAATACTCCGAGGATCCATACCCGACGCCGTGGATGAGCCACCGAACCATGAGGTCTCGGGACCAGGCCCAAAGACATGTCGCATGAGCAATTCTAAAGCTTTGTAGAAAAGCTGGGGAATGGGTTATTTGAAGCCAAGGTTTCCTGGCTTGATGTCAAGCCGCACAAGACCCTCCAAGCCCACGGCAACTTGGTTGCCAGACAGAAAGAAGCAAGCGTTGAAGAGGCTGAAGGTTTCGTACCTCCAGGCATACGTCAGCCTGTCATGGCATTGCTGCAAGCAGTGGCTTGTGTCGAGCAGCAGGTGCTGACAACAGTGCCCGTGGATCCTAGAAGGGCCTTGTTGAGTTCTAGAACTTCCAGGCAACAACAGTTGGAAAGCTAGAGACATGACGGACTTGCTCGTTAGAAATAACATAGAGT